AGTAATCAATCACACCAAGCGTGCTAATAGCGACAGTGGAGAGGAAATCTTCCTTTTAACAGTAAGAAACCTCCAGCAGAACCAGGCTCGGTGTGAGCCTGGTTCTGCTGAGACCGACTGGGGTTCAAGGAGACAGAAGCAGACATACAGAAAGAAGCACAGATACAAAGAAACTTGTCAAACAGCTTCACAGGCAGACCGGTCCAGGGAACATATTCAGGCAGATGAGCTCTGAGCCAGCTCCGATGTCAGAGAATGAAGAGAGTACATACAGATACCCACATCATCTTTTGTGGTTTATCATTAAAATGATCAAGAATTTTGCAGCAGCCTAAAAAGAATAGGAAAGTTTCAGCGTTTTTATTTTAATTTTCTCGTTGTGTCATCCTGATCCTCTCAATTATCACTCAACTTATCTGAATTAAAGATAATTTCAAATTGAGTCTTAGTTTATGTACTGTTTTTACTGTACTTATTGTTTTGAAAATATGATTTAAAATCCTAGTTCAAAAGCATCCTCATTCACATCTCCCCTAAATGTTCACGTTATGATATATGTTTACATTTTTAATTGGCTGCATCTAAAAATATCAAAGATATTTTCAATTTCTTTAAAGATCCAGCAGGTGTCAGTATTGTATGAGACAGTATCTAGAGACTAGTTACTTTTTTAACAGTATTCAGTCATTTTAATTATGTTCCCCAAACAGAGAAAATCCTCCCTCTTCTCTCTCCCCCCTCGTCTGCATCTTCTAGTGATGCCTAGGCTCCCCGCATGGACTTTATATCTAAACCTAATTTAATTCCTTTGGTTTATCTCCTCTCCTGAGAGCTAATCCTAATTCTAGGTTTGGTTGAGAAACCTAAGCTAAATCGATTGAGTAGGGCTATTTAATTCCTGTTTTGGACCAACTTCTTGTATGCATTTCTAGTAATGACAGTAAACATGGCGCTCGGTACATTTTCAATAAAGTTTGTTGTTTTTGGAAAAACACAATGAGAATGACTGCAATCGTTTGTTCCCATTTTTTCTGCTGCTCTCTGGTTTTACCCTTGAAAAAAGGTTGGGAACCACCTAGTGTAAAGTTGTGACAAAGAAAAAGAGAAAACTAAGATCAGATGTGAAACCACCTCCATTGTAGGGGAGTCCCATGGGTGAATTCACATAAATGAAATTAAAAAGAACAAAAAAGTCATGAGGAATTTCTCTTGATGTTACAAAACCAATCACACAGTAAGATTACTAATCAGTTTTTGAGTCCACATATAAAAACTTGACTAAAGAGCTTTACAAGCTGAAATATACAGATGAAAGGAAGAAGAAACAGGCTGTCAGCTGTGATTAAACATATTTAATGATCTGAGCAGCTCTTTATGAAAAAGTCTGAACCTCCATTAAAAAAATCAGTTTCTAACCTAAATCTAAAATGGTAAAGATGAAAGAATTCAAAGATTTTGCTGAGGTTAAAAGTTCAAACCATTATTATGATGTCATGGCAATAAAATGTGAGTTAGTATGCTCTATTTACCTTCACATCTAGATTTATCACTAACGGCTAGACTTGATTAACTGATGTAATCATCTGTATATCTGTCTTGAGTGCCTGGTGACACCAGATAGGTAGATAAAATATCAGATTAATGTCAAACTGCAGACACCACTGTATGGGAAATGAAAAGATCTCTTCCATTATTGTTTTCTTTTGTCAAACTATAATTTTTCAGATAACTATAGTGAAAATTTTAATTCTTTCTTTATATACATTCTTATAGAAAAAAAAATATCACTACAGGGTACATATGCTGAAGTGTCTTTAGCCCAAATAAGCTGAAAATACAGAGCAAAGCCTAAAATAAAAAGGTTCTTTGTTATCAAACAAAATAAAACGTTTCTAAGGAAAAATAAGCAGATCTTAGTCACACTTTTAGGCTAGGTAACAGACAGAGTTCTTTGTTCTTTGTTATGATATCAGAAAGGATCTTTATTCGGAAACAAAGGATCTTTGTTAGGTTTCGTTACCTTGAATCCTTCGTCACCAGATATCTTATTTCATGCATGTCTTTGAGACATTTTTTCGACCTAATTCTTTTTTTATCACGTAAAATACATCAACCTTTGCCTATTTAACTGAGGTCAAAGTCACAGTTGTCACGTCACTGGCTGGAAAATAAGAACTAACATGACAGGTTTATTTGTATAGGACCTATCATTAAGATGATTTAAAATGTGAACAAACATAAGACTAAAAAAGATAAAGAGGAAAGTGCATTGTAGTGCTATGATAAGCATGGGAAGTAAAGTCAAACTACAAACTCATTTATCATTTAATGTCTAAATAGAGGAAGAGGTTGTAGAACTTTGTAGAACTAAAACTGCAACAAGAACCTGAAAGTTCTGCATGAACCCTCAATTAATCTAAAAATCTCTTAGTTTACGATAAAGAATCCCTTTAATTGATCCTGTTCCGCTCTGTCCATCACGCCTGTACTTAAATTCAAACCAAACTGGATTCACATGCCTCATTTAGACACTTGGTTAAAACTAAAATTAAATATATTTGAAAAAGGTTTTTTTATAATCAAATTTTTTCTCTTAGATAGGAAAATGCTCAGAATTAGAATCTCAGAAGCAGAATATCCAACCTCAATAATTTATCATGACATTGCAATATAGCTATGGTGCTTTCATGAGTATAACGAAAATCAGATAATCACCTTGAAAAATAAAAGATAATCACCTTGAAAAATAAAAGTTTAATTAAATATTTTTTGTTTGTCATCAGTCAAAATCATCATGCTTGAACACAATGACTCCCTTGACGCAGCAATGACAAACATAACAGTTAAAATAATTCATATATCTACCAGGTATAGACTTAGACACATTTTATTCAACCAAGACATTTGTTTTAGAAAATAAATAAAACAGCTGGCCTCTCTGACAGATGATACACTTAACGTTCACATTAACATAAATGTACGGTTAATAGAAATGACATCTCAGAAACACCCTATATCAAGTATTTAATGGCATCACTGACCATGTATCTTTGCGGATGTTTTAAGGCCTCTTTGCCATCACCCTAATCTTTTGATCCCTCTACAGTTTCTCTATGAGATCATGTTCGAATTTTGGTCTGACCGCTTCAAAACATGGATCTTGCCTCTAATTAATTGATAGTTTAAAGCTAGATAAGACACCCATACAAATACGTTTTGACTCAATCAAAGTTAGAGAGCTTCTTAGTCTAGTTTTGTACAAGTATCTCAATGTTTGTTGGTGTAACTGTTGGCGATTCTCGGATGTGATCGACATCACATCTGGAATTCCCCATCACATCTGGGGAAAGACACTACCTAGGCCTCGAAGATATGGCCAAAACGTACATGACTATTCTTTATTTTAGTTTCATGATATAACGACAGGATTAAAGGAAACAATATAAAAGCCTCAGAAAGACTGCCAAAAAAATCCTACAGCTAAATCCTGTAAAAATGATTACGCCATATGCTTAAACAAGCTTATAAAACTCCTCCATTATAACATACATTTTAGAAATAATTACCTCATAAGCTTTATAAAATCTGGAGCATTGGCCGGTAACAAATATTATTCTTATAGACTGTAATGTCTTAACATCCTAATTTTATAAAACAATAGTGTGATATATGTTAATAATGAACTTATATCCACCCCTACCTCTAAGGCAACCGTCGCCCTGTTTCATGACCATTGTCCATTCACTGCTGCTCTAGCAGGGGATTCACTTGATGCATTGTGAGCCAAGTGTAATAAGAAATATATAACTCTGGGTCCATGATCACTATTAGGATTCTTGGTTCTTAATCAGTCTGACTGTTGAATATAAAAATGAAGCAGGGTGTAAAGTTCATGTTTATTTGAAAGGTAGTTTCTCCAGAGGCAAAGCAACAGCAGCAAGATCAACAGCAGAAGGCAGATCACAACAGGAAGAAGAAGAGGACGAAAGCAGCCTTTCCAATAGAAAGACAGCAGGTTAGCTGGCCTACATAGAGACAATAAGATCAGCTCTATATGAGCTGGGAACCAAATCCGCCCTGCTCTGAACATTAGAAGTGATAACACTCTTTGTAAGGAGGCAATAGACTAAATTAATCTGATTTATACTCTGTCATATCCATCTATTGCCACTGGGGCTAAAAAGTTAAATCAGTTTCTATAAACATGATATTAAACTATAACAGATGTTATCTCAACGATCTTCATAAACACCTTGCACTTAAATGCAGTAGGATAGATTCTATTTATGTCCCAATTTAATTCAGATCCATTGGATTAAGACTGGACTGCATGGTGAGCAGGTGGTTGCACTGCTGCCTTGCAGCAAGAAGGTTGCTGATTCGATTCCCGGCCCTCTTCTGCATGGATTTACATTTTCTCCATGAGCATGTGTGGGTTCTCTCCGGGTACTCCGGCTTCCTTCCACAGTCCAAAAACTTCACTGTTAGGTTAATTGGATCCTCTAAATTCTCCTTAGGTGTGTGAGTGAATGGTTTTTTGTCCTGTTTGTCTCTGTGTTGCCCTGTGATGGCCTGGTGTTCAAATTTTATGACATTAGAATTTATCCTTTGTTATAGAAAGAAAGGAACATCAGGAACAAAGATAATTTTCTGTGGAGTAAAAGCTAAACAGTTTCACACTGTATTTATGTCTTTCATCTTTGATGTTATTCCTTGTTTCATTCTCTAAGTCAGTTTTGAAAATTTAACATTTACATGTGTGAGAATATACAGTTTTATCATTATTGTTTGAACTAATAGTTAAGAAAATGCATCCCAACAATGAAAGGAATAACACCAACGAGAGGATGAAAGTGTAAAATGGTAATAAGCATTTGATAAATAAGTGATAGGAAAAGCGAGCAAAAAATATATATATTTTTTTATTTATCAGTTATAGCTCTATAATACAAATGAATAATAAGATGCAAAACAGCTAAAAGGAGGTTATATCATTTTAACATTTTACATATATTTATAAACTGAACAAACAAATTAGTCAAAGTACGAGAAATATTTACCAAGTTTTAGATTAAGACACAGTTTAGCTTCTAAGATTAAACAGAAGCTGCAAGGAGAAGCATCCTGGCTCTGGATGCATGAATGATGGGGATACCCAGGACACAAGATTCTCACAGGGTGTCCATTTAGCATAATGTGCATTTTAATAATTCCCTTTTTATACATCAATTCATGTAAATAAGGTGAGAAAGATTAATGTGTTACTTGATGCGTTACAATGCTGGATTTCACATTATCAGCTCCTCTCTGGTTTCCCTCTTGAATAAATGGTTGGAGCAGCACCTAGAATAAAGTTGGGGAAAAATAAAAAGAGAAGACCAAGCTAACGTTAAATTTACATTCTTCATTTGATATCAATCTAATTCTAACTCAAGAGAGCCTGCGAGAAAATGTATACTTACTGTAAGTTATGAGAAGCTGTGCTTTTTGGGATTCTCTTCTGTAGAATGAAGATTCTGTAGATTCTCTTCTGTTTAATGAAACAACTAGCCATGAATCTATTTAGGTATAACGATAATTAAATCAATCAACACTCAGGCTTGACTAACAGAGAAAATTATTGTTTGACATGGTGTGAAAGTCTCATGTCTCAAGTCTCTACATAATGAGCCACACTAAATTGCTTCTTTTCAAGAGCAACAATGCCATTAATCTCTATCGCAGCTGTTCTAGTTATGTGTTTATTTTAAATATGTGTTTGATATGATAAGATGAGCTTATTGTATGATAAAATTGACTTGGTCATGGAAATTAGATTATTTTTCCAGCACCGACAGATCAGACATCGGCCTATGATGCACTATAATTGCTGGACCATCATCCTTGAATAGGGGGGGAAAACAGCTGATTTTCACAAGAAAACATTTGCTTACTTTTCTTTTTCCACAGTAAGTTTATGAAGTATTAACAAATGTCTATGCTTGTCTATAAATTCAACAGCCATCATTAAAGTAAATAAAAAGGTTCTACTAAATCAGTTCCTTAACGTTTCTATTGCTCTAAAGCAGATATGCTATGGTCCATCCTGTAGTTTTTTAGATGCTTTTCATCTCCAACATCTGAATAGTTTAGCAAAGACCTAATGACAGGCCACTCATTTTACTAAATGAGCCACTTTATCTCAACTTTAATCCTCATATCACCTGTTAGGTTCAGAAAAAGTAGGTTTTGTAAAAGAAGAACTTGAGGCTACACAGGAAAGAGATTCAAGCAACTTCTGCAGGAGTGGAAAGAAAAAGCCCAACCCAACTTCAAGCTTTCTTTCACCGAATCCTCTCCTGCAGCCGTCTTTTATTAACAGAACATAACACATGGTTACAAAACAATATTTGTTCTGACAGAACAATTGATCAGTTCAAAAGGACAAGATGCTCCACCAGAATGACAAGGCAAGATGGTCTCCTGACTGAATCACAAGACGCAGTGGAGCATCCCCTTGCACAAATGTTTCATAAGCATACATTAATTTTATAATCATCATTGAATAAACCTAACATCACCCCTCATTGATCGGAGAAAATGGGTGTTTGTTTACAGTGCGGCACAGTGTGATTAAAGGGGCCTTCTGGAGGGGCCACATAGATATTCCTCATTCACTCATTTTCACAAGACAGGGAGGAGCTGCTGCTCAGACAGTGCATGTAATAAACGAAAGCTTGTGCATGATTTCATTAAAGGAATAAGATTGCAACACTTTCAAGAGCTCAAATTTAGCACTTTAATCTCTGAAATGCAGTCCATTCAAACGTGAAGTTTGATTTCCCTCCCTTGGCCCAAACAGGATTAGAAGCAGCAGTAAAAAATCTTTTTGAGGAGGCACGTTTATTAACAACTATGTAGAAGAATAACCCAGTTGTCTCTACATCAGGGATAAGTCCTATTTTCTTTCTGTGCAAACAGACTGTGTAAAAATATCCATCTAAGTCTCTGGATCACTCTAAAAATTAATGCTTAGAGTAAGTTAATCTTTTTTGAGCATCTTATTTTATAATGAAGAAAAGCTTTTGGCCTTCTTTCAAACATCTGCTTAAAATAAACAAAAGAGAAACATTCTTTAATTATCACTCTTTGGTATGCTCTCTTTTGTTATTTTATGGTCACGCCTTTCTTTGCGTGGTAGCAAGTTATTTCTGTCTTATAACGTCAACCAAAGCGTGTGAAGCACTTTATTACGCACCAGAAAGAATAAATAGCAAAAGAATTTTATTTTTTTAAATAGTTTTCAACCCACGTCAGCTTTGGGTTGTGATGCATTTAGGTTTTGTTTCTTTATAGTGTTGTTATTATCAGAGCTCTGATCTGTTTACAGTATAAAAAAATACTGTAGAGTTTATTCTAGGTGACTTTTAGGTCACCAGTGATTCTTTGAGGTTTCCCTTCCTGAGAGACAATGACAGCAGAGAAAGAACACAGAACTGTCCACCCTACCTGCAGAAATAAATAAAATAAATCATTAGGATACAGCAGCTGGATTTAACTGGCTTTATATCATCAATGATGGTCAAAGTCACACTGCTGATCACAGCCGTGCAACACAGCAAAGTGTGATGTCATATTTAAGTTAAAGGTTAATTCAAAGGTTGCCTTGTCTATCAGTCAGCTTAAAAGAGCAACTGGAAGGTTTTTAGATGATATTCAGAAATCAGATGAATTGACTGAGGAGGATAAAACCAGCATAAATGTGCTGAACCAGGTTACATTACAATTTATTGTTTATTTCTTCATTATTTTTTTATTTTTCTGAGTTAAATCTTTATAGAGAATCCGATTTAATGTTTGCATGATGTCACCAAACTAATCACACAGTGAGATTATAAATCTATGACCGGTCAGTGTCTCATCAACAACTTCTATGACCAAAGTGCTTTAGAGGCTGAAATATAAAAATGAGAGTATTATAAAACAGACCAGCAGCTGTAATATAACATGTTTAATAGTTTGAACCAGAATCGAGCTCTAAAAAGAGTTTAGCACCTAAATCTATAGAGGCCAAGGTAAGCTGATTCACTGAGCTAAATGTTCAGGACATTATTACAGCTGCAGGCTAGATCAGTTGGACATCTGGACATCAGATATGAGAGAGGATGAAACACCAAACAGATACAGGTAAATCTGCAGATACCAAAATGATTTTTCCCCCAATAGATTACTTTTATTTTTGTCTTAATGGCAAACCTCAGTCTTAGAGAATATTCTAGTGTTTTTTTGTGAAAACACTGACCTTTATGTCTTCTCCAGAAGCAGAGTATCATCACCATGATGAAGAAGAAAACACCGACCACAAGAAGGCGTATTATGTATGCGAGGGGAGATGTAGGCGTCTGACGACTGAGGACTGTGAAAGACAGACGTCTGGTTAGCTGGCATACATACAAGCAAGGTTACCTGAGTATGGGAAAAAAAGTACTTAAGTTTTAAGAAAGTGTTTAATATGAATTTTGCAGGTTTATATACTAAAAAGAAGGGAGAAGTCAGTAATTTAATGGATCTCTTTCTTTTATTATCACTGTAATTTAACTTAACACTAAAAGAAAACACAATAAAACTAAAAATCTCACTGCGTGATTATTGAATAATTAATTAGGATGTTAACTTGAAACAAGAATATGATAGAAAATAAGAGAAACATTTTGTTGGGATCAAAGAGAGCAGATGTTTCCTGTTGCTCTGGGCAAAATTAGCAGGCATTCTTCCAGACAGGTCTGTGTTGTGGTTTTTGGTTAGTTCTATTTTTAGTCTGAAGTCAGACAGAAATCTTCAGCCATAAATCCTTCAGAATGAAGTCAGAATGATGAATCGGAAAGCTGGGGCAACACAACCCTACCAGACTTCCACATTCAAGATGGCTGCTCATTGCATCGACATCAGTTAGATGGTTTCACCAGCTGTTATTGATGTTACAGTTAGTCAGTCTAATACTCCAGACTGAAACAGTCTATCTAATTGGAGGTTTCTGAAAATATCGTTTCATAATAACAATGAAGACTCCGGAGTCTTAATTTACAGCTCGTTTACATACGATAAAAATTGTAGATCTATGTAAGTAGGAAAAAATAGAATATTTGCCTTTTATCGAATACATGTTTTCCCCACATACACATAGTGCCAAATAATAACAACTATGATTGCAAATTTCTCGACAAGAGAAGTTATATAGAATCAAATTAAGTTCAAATTTCAGATAATTCTGAGTCATATCAGTCTAACACAATTAACACGGTATTATAATACAATAAACAGGTTTTTGTGACACTCTCTCTACAGTCTCCCCTGTCATTCAATAAAGAAGATAAACAAGAGCTTAATTCTAAGAAGATGTAAACAGAGACATGAATAAGAACACTATAATAAGAAAACTATAATAAAGGTGTTTTATATTTTCTAAATTTCCTTCTCACCTCTGACAGCCAACCAGCTTTCTGGTGATTCTCCGAGTCCAGAGACGTTACATTTGTAGAGTCCTTCATCAGATTTAGAAACACTTTTGATGTTAAAGGTTTCTGTAGAGCTGTCCCCAATGAGCACCCCGTTTTTATAGAAATAGGTTAGATTGGAGAAAGACGTCTTGGTTCTGCAGTGAAGATTCACTTTGTCTCCTTCACTGACTGGATGTTCAGGACTCTCCAGGATCAACGGTCCACCTGAGAAACACAGCATGGAGGCAAACAAGTATTATATAACCAGACTGTGGTGAGCAACCATTTTCTGAGCATATTTTAATCTGGTATTTACATTGAAACACACATACAGAACACCGTCTTTGAAGTTAAATAAAAAAAAAAAACATTTATTTAGAGCTGACCTTGACTGTTGAAGTTAAGCCTTTAATTGACATTTCTTTAGTTTAAGGTTGTGGTCATTCTGTTTTATTTGTTTTAATACTTATGTTTTTATCATCCCTTGCTTTTATTCTGTTTGTATTTTGCTTCTATTTCTCGTAAAGCACTTCAAATTGACTTTGTGGTGAATTGGGCTATATAGACTTGCCTTGACTTTGTTGTTATCAGCGCAGACTAAAATAGTAAAGCACTGTCCACCAACGTTACACTTTTCATTAAGTTTTACTGATTTCCTACATTTCTCGCTGTCATAAAAGCTCAATGTCAGGACTTTTTCCCAGCAAATAGTTTATTGTGAGTGTTATGCCATTTGCCATGATCATACTTTTTGGACATTGGGAAGCAGTGTCCATATTTCATCCTGATAGGATGACCAGAGAAGAAAACGCAGCTTTGGTGAATAACAGCTGGGGGACTTCTGCAGCCCCCCTTTTTCAGCCAAAGCAGCCACAAGCAGTCACATGGAAGTCACAGAGGTGTGAAAACCTACCCCCCTCCCTGTGAGAACAGAACAAAACCACAGAGCACACAGGATTCTTCCTCTTCTCCTCTTCACTTTTTCTCCCTCGTCTGATCCAGCCTGCTTCTGCTCCTGCTCTCAAAGCTGGGGCCCACTGTGGCCCACAGTGGAGATGCAGGCCCCAGGGAAACCAGATCCCCAGAACCATCAAGGATGAGTCAGAACTCTTCAGAACCTAACTGCTGCAAACAGAACCTTTGCAACACATTTCTCTTGAGTTTCAGAACTTACAGAGCCAAACTGGATAAAGACCATGCCCTGGTGTGAGACTGAGGGGACCCCTGCTGTGAGACTGAGACAAAGGAACCCCTGACTGCAGAGCTGCAAAACTGGATGAAACTCAAGCTTTCCAAACGGACATGGAAAAAGGTTTGCAGGTCTGGCATGATTAGGGACAGAACAAGCAATATGTCTTTTGATGATGCTAATCATATCATGTGTTTACTGCTGAGTAAAGACAACGCTAATTGATGCTAAAGAATGGACTGCATGCTACGCTATGCTACAGGAATATATGTTGAGCTGTTGCTAAAGCTTAGACAAGCTTTATTCACTAAGGATTTAACACTGATAGAACATTAGTGTTCACGTGTTCCTCAAATGCTCATTACATTTCCATTGCCAAGTATGACCAAGAGTCATTTAGTGGAATCCCGATGTCTATTCGCTGCTAACTATTTCAAAGAGGGTAAAGAATCATTTAACTAAAGGTTTTTGGTTCTTGATTAAGCAAATCATTCAATAGAACATTATTTGGCCAAATAATGTTTTATTCACCTCATGGATTTGCATTGTGAATTGGTCTGAAAACATTCCAATGTCCTTAAAATTAGTGAAAAGCTAATTTGATCACATCCCAAATTATTCCAGATAAACTTTGGTTTCAAACACAGAATCCATCTTAAACTGTAATATGTTTTTCAACCGTTTTCCCCCTTCCTCTTTGTACATAGTAGTTAGTTTAGTTTAGTTGAGTTTTACTAGTCTTAGTTGAGAGTGTTAAACTGAAATATGTTTGACGTGGAGCTGAATGATTTTTGTTAATAAAATCTTATATTTTGAACAGAAGTTGTGGTGAATTTATTCCATGTATGTGCAGAAATAACTGTTTGACCATGATTAGTGCTCGAATCACTCTTTCATTTATTGTTCTAACACACAGTTAGTAGGACTGTGTGTCATAAACAGTATATAACAGCTGAAATAATATCTGATTAAATAAGATATTTTACCACCCCTACAGGGGAGGGCAATAAACATCTTAAAGTATCAGAAACATAAATTCCCAGCGGGCTGGGAATAGAATTTAACTATAGAATCACAACATGAGAATGGGTGAATCACACAGTCATAAAAATAAAGCTTTTCACATACATCCACCTTAAGTACATTTGACCCCGTGGGAAACTTTAGAGCATCGTTCTAGTCCTCAAAGTCGGATGTCCTAAACCAGAGGGGGTCCACAGAGGTACTGCATGGGGGTCGTGGAAGTTTTGGTTATTACATACCAACTGTGCAAAAATTGGTTGAAAAGACATAGACAAGAAAAACTTGGGATTTCATGTCTAAAGTGGGACAAAATCAGACAGACCAAATACAACCAAATTTTTTACTAATATTTCTGTATTAAATCCAGACTATGATGGATTGACCAGATTTAACCTAAAAGCCAATGTCTAAATGACGTCTGGTGTTTGGGGGATATTGCTTTGATCTAAGACTCAAGTCCTTTGTTTCTCTCTTAGACATGAGACTTATTTAAGATCAAACCTGTAACATCTTCCACCTCAGTCCAGTGCAGAGCTCCGTCAAATCCCTACTACGAAGGAAGGTCACTGGAAAACAGCCTCACACAAGGACTTCAATCAACAGGGAGCGTTGGCCTAGTGATTAGAGCAGTGCACTTGTGCTCTGAGAAGGTTGCAAGTACCTGGTTCTCTGGTTTCCTGAGCAAAACCCTTAACCTTTGATTGCTCCCCAGGTGCCAGACAATGGCAGCCAAGGGGATGGCGATTAATCTCTCCATCGTCAGATCAATAAAATTTTATTATAATTAATTATTATTAACCCTAAACACTCAGAAATAAAGGCCAAGTATTGTATTCATTATATATTATTGTATTATAGCCTCATAGTTAACTCTGTATAAGTTGTATTATCTATAATCACTAAATACAATTGTGGACATTTCTACATTTCTAGATGTGTTCTGCTGATTACATGAGCAACGGAAGTTTTCATTTAAATGTTGAAAATAGACTGATAAAAAAAGACATATGCCGGACTGCTGCATCCCTGCAGGGAAACCAACACTTACCTTTTTCTCCTGAATTGATATATACTAGAAATTATCATTTCTATTTATCTGTGAGTTTATCTACATCATTTTCAATATCTAAGTTACTTTTACCTTCTCCAGACCACAAACAGGTCAGCTCTCCTCAGACTGAATCAGACTCAATAAAAAATGATTTCAGATCATCTTCTGCTCTGTTTTAACTCACCTGTTACAGTGATGTTCACTTCATTGCTTCGTTCTCCTGCTTCTGATTCACACCAGTAAACTCCTGAGTCAAGTTCATATAGGTTATCAAGGTAACATGTAGAGTTATTTCTTTCATTTGAATAGAATGGACAGAGATGATGTATTTGTTTTGAAGTGTTTCTTCTGATTCTCCACTCAGCAGAGCTTCCCTCACAGCTCAGAATAACAGACTCATACTTGAAGAACTGGGATCTGCTGGGAAGGACGCTCAGACAAGCTGCAAAAAGGAGAAAAACTTTAATAAGAACTAATCTTCATAATCTCGTTCTGATGAATATAAACTGCAAAACAAAAAAATTGTGTTGGTTTATTTTTTTTTTCTTTGCAACGTTTTTAAAACAATTAAACACTTTTGCCAAACATCCAATACCTATTAACAAAAATGTGTTTGCAGCAACGTTGCCCGTCGGCCTCATAAGTATAGTTAATGCGGCTGCATCGATGAGCTGGTTACA